AAAAAAAAACTATGAACATTAAATAAACAAAAGAAAAAACCAAAACTGGTCAAAATGTCACTTAACTTAATCACACTTGACCACAAGGGTATATAGGTAATGGGCGAGTCCGCGCTTCCACCCTTCTCGCCTGCGTCCACCTCACAAACAATAAAGCTTATCAGCCCTGTAAATCTACCTCTGGCAACTGTACCACCCGTAGCTGTCACTGGGACATGCTTGGCTGTTGAATTATTCTTATCTAGCTATGTGGAAACGAAAATGCAATTGTGGTAAACATTGACAATGAAGTTCTAACTTTATGTAACAAACCCAAAACACAACTTCAACTTCTGTAATTAAATATAACAACTCTTACCTTTTTTGTCACGGGTGGGACAAGACCAATACTGCTTAATAATAACTCATAATATAGATAAAGCACTCACACAATTTAATATATAATACAATTTTATTAAACGCAGATGAGTTCTACTACATATTTTTCTTACAAACACTTGAATTAAGAATCGCAAATTATTTGACAGTACTTTCAACACAACTTACTTTAAAGCTACTAAAAAAATTTAGTTATAACTTGATTTTAAAACGTAAAAAAGGCAATAAAAATGTATTTAAGGCTTTAATTTGTTATTTTTTGGTTGATTCAAGATTTGTACACATGGCTTACACAGGCCTACAAAATTTAAAAAAGTTAAGACCCTGGGACTAGCTTATACTTTTCTAAAGGTTTCGTTGCGCTGACCCTGAATCCAAAATCAGTTTTGCTCGATTAGCTTAGGTTTTCGAGAATTTTGAGCCTAAACATACGAAAAACCCGTTTTTTTCTATATTCTTCATGTATTTTCATCAAGAATAGTTCGTTTTTTACAAAATTGAATAAAACATTTGAAAGCAAAATATTTCCCCTTGATAATGCTGTTTAACTCAACGAGATGTCTTGTTTTAAACCTGAGATATTGTCCATTGAAGTTTATGAGTTTTGCGACATTACTCCTTTGCACAAATGCTTGAAAGATACAACACGAAAAGAAACAGATTTGTTGTATAAGTTTAGGCGTCTTTGTTTACATAATGAATGTATCAATCTGTCACGGATTTTTACTATATCTGAGTCTCGACTTTGAGTCGCCTTCAATTGAAACTCCAAATCGTCTTCATTAACAACAAAAACTACTTCACTTCGACTAAGAGCATCGACATGACCCATATTAGCGCCTCCTCTATGTTGAACGGAATAGTCATAATTTTGCATTTCAAGAGCCCTTCTAGCAATACTTGGGTTAAGCGTATTTTTGCTTAAAGTTAGCGTAAGTGAGTTACAATCAGTGATAATTTAGAAGGGATTTCTTCAAGATAAACTCTAAAACGTCGCAAAGCGTAAATGATAGCGAGGGTTTCTAGCTCAAAGCTATGATACTTGCTCTCAGTATTTGTACTTCGCTGTGAAAAATAAAAAATTGGGTGAAACTTCCCATCTGATTGGCGCTGTAGCAAACCAGCACCAAACCCCTGATCACTTGCGTCACAGTGCAATTCAGTTTCATTTTTGGGATTATATATTGACAAATTGGAGGATCAGTGAGCTTCGATTTTAATTCCGCAATTGCATTCAAACAGGCTTCATCGAGCTCAAACTTTGCGTTTTTTTAGCAAATCATCCAACGGTTTGTCAATTTTTGAAAACTGTAAGACGAATTTTCTGAAATAGTAGGAGCATAGCCCGATAAAAGAATGCAACTGCTTCAAACTTTTTGGTAAAGGAAATTTCGCAACAGATTCTTTGTGCTCCTGATTTGGTTCAATGCCTTTATGACTTACATCGTACCCCAAGTACCGGATGCTATTATGACAAAATTTGCATTTTGACAACTTCAATTCAAGTCCATGCTTAGCTATCTGTGTCAATACCGATTCTAACTCCACTGTTGCTAGCAATATATCATCCATATAAACTATTAGCAGGCCTTTTGAAATGAAATCTTTCAAAATAAATGTAATAAATCTTTGAAATACGGAAGGGGCATTTTTGAGGCCAAATGGCATCATGACATACTCAAACTGGCCACCAGGTGTAACAAATGCCGCATATCTTATCGACTCCTTAGCTACCTTCACTTGGTGAAAACCACTTTTTAAATCCAGTAATGTAAAATACTTTTTCCCACCTAAATACTCTAAACAGTCTTCAATAAGAGGAAGTGGATAATTATCTCTTATAGTAATTTTATTTAAACCCCTATAGGCAATGCACATGCGAGTTTCACCACTTTTCTTCTTAACCAATACTATTGGTGATGCAAATGGATGCACGATTTTCTGAACTTCAAATTTATCTTTATAAGATAATCTTCGTGGATGAGAGTAGATGGGTTGATCAGAGGTTAACTTTATAGACATTTCATATGGTTTTGCCATAGACTCTTTTGGACAGTTCAAATAGCAATCACGTATGTATAATGCGTTCTAATGCTAAACGTGCATCACTATGCAAAGTAGAATCAATATCACAATCAGTAATACTAACACTGGTTTTACAAATAGCCTCGACATCTATTGCACATGCAATATTCCCTTCTATAAAGGAGAAACAATCCGCATTTTGCCGTTCACTTAAAATGTTACCATTCGCTTCTTTACCAATACTGGCCCCAACGGCGCAACGAACACTAATCGGAAGACAATCACTAACCAATCTATCTGGGGATATATCCCCACAAATCTCGCCATCGATAATAGAAGCGAAAGAATGACCATCAGAACAATCATCAATATAGCAATGTTGCAAATTTTTCGGAACCTGAACAATACTATCAATTAAAGACACATTTGATTTCAATTCATTTGATTCCTTTAATTCATATTTTTCTTCACTACAATTTAACATGAAAAGTTGAGTAATAAATGATGTGAAAAAGTCTCTTCCAAGAAGCAGTGGCTTAGAAAAGAGGCCATCTGATACTATGAATAACGAAAGCGTTTTAGATTTGCCATTCAGCAAAATCTCACAATCAATTTTACCAAAGGTTTTGAGTTTAGTGCCACCCAAGCTATAAAAATCAGATAGAACTGGGCCATCGTCAGTTATATCAAAAGCCAAAAGCGTCTTGCTAACAAAGCTGGCAGGACTACCACTGTCAATCAAAGAAATACACTTCGTAAACTTCTTATTGTTCGTGTTCCGATTACAAAAAACAATACTTACAGTCTGATAAGGCTCAACATTGTACACATCCGGATCGGTTGGCTCCTCAGCCACAGCATTTACGGTCGTCTTCGTTGATGGTTGGTTGCACTGATTCAGTAGATGGTCTTTGCTCCCACAGCGGAAGCATGATCCTTTGGCGCGCTTTGGTTGCTTGCATTGTTTCGAAAGATGCCCAATTTGCGAGCAATGGAAGCATATCACATTAGATTCTGATTTGGTCCCACCTTCTGCACGCTGTTGTATATTACGTGTTGCACTGTCACTCGTTCGATTTTCCTCATATCTTATAAACAGCTCCCGAAGTTCATCCAAATTCTTGGCGGTATACAATATTGAGGTATACGCAGTGTTGTATCGCAGTCCCTCAATTACTGCACTAATTACTTCGTGTTCGACTAAACTGGCCTGTGCTGAAATCTCCTTCATTGACAACATGTAGCAAATAATGCCCTCGTTAGGCAAACGCCTGCGTCGGTATAACTCCTTGTATACGTCATTAGTCGATATGTTGCGTTTATACTGCTTCAAAAGTGCTACTTTCAATTCAGCAGACGATGTGCGCAGGAAAATGACGGCTGTACCCGACAGCAGGCGACGCATGCACATATACTTGAAATGGTCATCTTTATAACCGACCTTCACGGCATAATCAAAGCCGTTGATCCACTTTTCAATTGGATAAGCGTTATCTCCAGAAAATTTTGGTACTATCCCGTCAATATCCATAACGGAGATGCGCTGACGTGCACTAGGCGCTTCTAATTCTAATGCTTGCAACTCTTTTTGCAATAATAACATTTTCTTCCGTTTCTCAAGCATAGCTATTTGTGCGTCCAAATTTTCGTTTTCACTAATTTCATCAGCATTCAATTCTCTAACATTAGATTCACCGCCGGCGGCAGCAGCAACACCAGAGTCATTCTCAAAGCTATTCTCCATCCGTCCACCATCTAACAGGGCACGCAATTGAGACACAGTAGAAGTAGCAGGGTACGTAATTCCTGCTATTTCTAAAGCGTTTTGCAGTTCACTCTTATTTAGTCGGGTCATGTTCCGACCCCACACCTGATGAAAACACAAGGAGGGTTTATTGCGGGGAACAATTTATTTAACCAATTTATTTGGCAGCAACAATACAATTCTTTATTTTTCAGCAACAATCCTTCAAACAACTGACACACTCAAACGTTCAATAGCAATTGGCTTCCTTTTTGCTTAGCACGACACAACGAAAGGGCAACTTCAAATTGGATTGAGTGATTTCAAACTCGTTTCGCCTACATGCATACATACGTAAGAAAAGAGCTAGAAGCGCAAAAACAAGGCGAATTAATATAAGGTGATAGCAGGAGTACAAAAACAAAAAATTACATGTATTTTGTTTTTGCTTTGGCGGCATAAACTGTCAAAATCTGAAAGAGTGTGTGTAGAAATTCAAACAAAATTTTTCAATTTGATATCAGAAGCCGTGCGGCGAAACACATACACAAAATCAGCTGAGCTAGTAACACCACCTTATATAAATTCGCCTTGCGCAAAAAAGTACTCAAATAGATTTTAACGAAGCGTTGCCTTGCATTTATTTTCTTTCTCCAGTTTCTCTTTCGTTGTGTTTCACAGAAAAATTTGTATAAAATATGTACATGGTCGCCATGGAATTAGATAAAATAAATTGAGCGATTCACAACGGTGTCGTAAATGTCGTATTGTTGTATGTCGTAAACTTTAAAAGCTTAAATAAATGTTTAGAGAACTTTAAACGTCAACCAACTATTTTTTAGCACTACAAAAAATCATAATATGATATGTTGGTACTTTGCGAACTCCTTTAATTTATTTCTTAGGCGTTTAAAGTTTACGACATACAACGATACGACACTTACGACACCGTTGTGAATACCCCAAATGTATTTTATCATTTCTGCATGGTTGCCAATTGCTCTAGATTACACTAATGAAATATTTTTAACTTAAATAATAAAGTAAATTTCAAACCCATTTATTTATTATTTATTGTCTGGTAGGACAGCTTCTCAAACTATATTGATGCAATGTTTTTCATGTTAAGTTGTTGGAAAATAATGAATTTCTAAATCCCGGGACTAATCCTGGGATCCCTGGGATCGCAAAAATCGAAAACATTAACATCTCATACAATATATGTATGTACAAATGTAGATAATAATGTAAGCGTCTTCCCAGGTTGGTTAAGTGCGGGTATAGTTGCATACTGTATACATCAAATATCCTGCCCACGATATCATTACATTCACACTGAATGTGTACATACATGTATACTTACGTATGTACAAGAAAACAAAGAAACCAGCAAAAATAAAAACATTTCTTATTTGTTTAATTAAATATGTATCGCGTACAGCGAAATTCCCCCAATTTGCAGGGAACTTCAGTTTAGGTGGCATTGGGGAACGGAAAGTTTTTTGCGGGAAATTGGATATGTTACGTTTATAACTTAAAGTACCCAAATTAGACGAATATGTTAACTTTTAACCATTTTTCGCTATTTGGAGCGACATTTTTTCAATTTGAATCGTAATATATCCACAACAAGAGTTTTTCCAGATATAAGCTATATACCAAATGAAAGCTAAGGTTTCGGGCTAGACTTAAGGAAACCTAAAATAAAATCGACTGACCAGCTTTTGAGAAAATACTCGAAATCTATATTTTCAGCAGCCCGATTTTTAGTTTTCAGGCGATAACGTTATGACATATTTATATTTCATAAACGCAAAAGACAGCATTAGATAGCTTGTTTTATGGCCCTTCTACTGATATCAACATGAATGGTATGGAATGAGAAGTGCGGCCTCAGTGGTAGTTTAAAAACGGAATTTTTTCGAATTTCAGGCACCAGCCACGCCCACAAGGGCATACGAATCGAAATATCCTGGAGCAAAACCTTCCTTTTTTTTTTGGTACTTTAATTCCTGAAAGTTTGAAAAAAATTAAATGAAGGTACGTACAGACGCTACACACATCGCAAAGCGTCTCTATATCTTTCCAACTAGTAGCCGGAACTCAATATATAAGGTATCGTTTGAAAGGTATTGGCCGATAGAATAACACTAAATATGTCGGGTATACCCTCATGCCCCCTTAAACCGGCAAAAGCGTTTTTTGATTCGCAACACTTTAGCCAAATTTTTAAGAATTCGGATAATCGTTTATGAAACTTGAATATATTTTCTGGACACACTCTACAAGACCTTTCCAACGATACCTCAAACATGTCGGTTGGACGTCTGGATAAAAACTTCCAAATCTCGTGTATACATAAGCGAGTCATTTCAGCATGCTACTGTGGCTGCTTTCGTCACTCGTGCGCACTGCCGTGCGCTGTGATAGTCTTTATTTTTATCGCTCCGAGTTTTAAAGTGATGCGAAAAATATGTATCACACATTTTTAAAACACAAAACTTGAAACAACAAAACCGCAAAGCTTTGTATGCCAAACTTTAAATTCAGAAACTGACAATTGAGAAAAGACCGAATCTAGAAAAATCGATGACAAACAACCAAGCAGGCAAGAAGCTCAAAAAGTGTTCCACCGTCTCATCCCCTTGAAGGTAGTGTTCGTCCGATACCACCATGTACTCGATGCCTGTACTCATTAAAAGTATCGGTGAGAAAATTCGATGCTACTCACAGTATCGCCAGGAAATACTCGACTATACTTGCACTCGAAAGTACTTCGACGAGAAATTTTAGTACAAAGACCATATACAATATAACAACATACAACAAAGAAACGCTTATGAAAAGCTGAAAACGCCCTTTCATTCACTCCTTTTTAAATTGCCAAACTGTTAAGTTTTAAGCACTTCTGTTAAGAATTACATTACTTGGTTTCCTCACACAGGGAGTTATGGAAATACAGAGATATAATAAAAGCCACGTAGGTACTTCTACTATCGCGCAGGCGCAGTTAGTATGATCAAGGTTGCCAACTATAATTTGCTATGAAGTGCCATATTGAGGATAAAACAGTGCCAAAATATGCCAAATAGAAAAATAAAAGTGCCAAAAAAGCTGTAATTCTTTTTAGTTCTTCTCATTTAGCATTAAAATTACAAACTCATTCCTAAAACGAAATTCCAATGCAAAGTAAGATAAACCAGTTGTATACACTATAGAAATTAGAAAATTTTAGTTTACAAAAAGAAGTAAGGCAACACGCAAGGGATTTCATAAAAATGAATGGAAATATTATTATTTTTCAAAAGTGCCAAATTGAAAAATTAAGTGCCATTTGAAATAAAATACGGCCAAAAATGGCACGGTTTGAGCCAAGTTGGCAGCCCTGTGTACGATGTGTTTCTCCTGAATACTGTTAAGGCGATGTGGATAATGCTGCATAGTCATGTGCCATGGGATGGTAATGGTAAACGGAAAATAATTGTCTATAATTAACATAGCGAAGTGGTCAAAAGGCTTAGGCCCAATTTCAAATGGCCTACTTAAGTAGAGATTGTTGATTAACTTTCACTATTCATTTTCAGATCATACATTTAATCTGAACTTAAATGTAGTCTGTTCCTTTGAACTTCGGACTAAAACCTGTGGAACTGTCAAACTACAATTTTACGCTCTCAAATGAGAGTAAAAGGAGAACAGATGCACAAGTGCATAGGAACGCAAAAAGCACTATTTCCTGTAAAAACGTCAGACGGTTTGTTTACATGTCATTGGTACTACACTGATTTGGCTGAAATATCACTAAATAATTATTGAAATCTATACATATTCAAATATTCCGTTGTTTACTTCCATTTTTTAACAAATATAAGGATCTTTGCTTTCACCGCTTTCTGTTTTTGTTTGCACATGTAAATCAGCTGATCGTTTGACACTTTTCATGAACTTACAGGAAAAAAAACTCTGGACTAAATCCTGTAACTTCTGACTAGGAACAGTTGCTCAGTTACTCTCTCAAATGTGTTCCCACTTACAGGTTTTATGTCAATAGGAACGACTTCCTGTAAGTTCTGACTAAATCCTGTAAACCGGACTGCTATTGAAACAGACTAATGGCCAATATTGGTTATTTAAATATGAGATATGCAACCCTGGGTTTGTACCAAACAACCAAGATTGATTGGTAGGTTGTTTAATCAATCCCACCAAATCCCACTAAAAACAATCAGCTGTTCAGCACAAAATGTTAACAAACAAACAAATGCAACAACAATTTCAAGGAACAAGCAGCAGTGCTGCCAATTGATTGGCATATTTAAATAAAGTCGATCTGAAACCTAACGAAAGCTAAATGGAATTTAAACAGCAATCCCCAATTATACTTAAGTGCCGTTTAAATATTTGTTTGAAATAGGCCCTTAGGGCCCGTTGTTCAATGTCTGATTAACACAAATCGGAAGCTCCGGTTAAATACAACAACTGTTATATGCATGATGTCGAAATCTTCGATAATGATGTACTAGTGATAGCCATACATTGAACCACGGGCCCTTAACTTATATGAAAATGCTTCAGTTTAAGACAGACTTTACATTTAAAGAACTTTTCTATTTAAAGCAACAAAATAAAATCTTTATAAGAGCTGTTTTCATTATATAAATAAAAATAAAATATATAATGTAAAAAAAAAAATATTTTTTAAAAACAAGCTTTTATTTAACATGTATAATCAAAGGAATAAAATAAAATAAATGTTGAAGTTGAAAAGGATAGAATTCCTAAACACTGATCATGTAAATACTAGACATAATTTCTCTGTAAACAGATTTTTTACTTTAATAAACTTTAACTTTAACTTAAAATAAAATAATGTAACAAAAGTTTTTTTAGCAAAGGATTTTTAAAACTTCACTAAAATGAGTAAAATAAAATAAGTTAAGCTTTCTTCAAAGTTACTAGACGTCAGATAAATCTGTATCCGTTTTGTACTGCGACCTTTTTGATTTTAATCAAGTAATCCTTTTTAATGCCGGCTTTGAGGTCAGGGTGTTGATGGAATTAAAACATCGGAGATCGTCTTCAGGGGATTAATTAAATTTTAGCTCCACGACGTCCGTCTCGTTTATCGTTAAACTGCACGGATATTGAACGGCCCTTAGTCAATTGTTGTCGTTTGACAGCGTAAAACTCTCTGCAGTGCGTTTGAGATTTGGTTTCAGCGTTCTACGCTGTTAATTAAATAATTTGGTGTTAAAAACATTAATCTGAAAAGTGCTCTAGCAACGTTACAAAAATTTTAATTTCCCGTGCATACTTTTTAAGAGCGTACATATGTACATATGTACGGATAGACAAATCTGCGATGTTTTTCAAAGCCGCCCACCGACCAATTGCAAAACCGCCTATTTTAGGCACTCGAATTTTTTATTAGAGCGAAAAAACGGTTTTT